AGGGCTGGTCAGATTTGGCAGACAAAAGTCTTCTCCACTGTAATGAGCTGAAATTTCTCAGGATCCACACCTTCCCCAAAATTAAATAGAATTCCTCTAAGATTGCCAGCTTCCAGACACTATTTTCATCACCAAGTACTATATACACATTTGCAGATGAAACTCTGATTCTGGTCCTAATATCATGAAATGTTTTGACACCTGACCAAGGAGGGAGCACTTCTGTGAAGGCTAAACAGATATGCCTTTTTATCATCTCTGCATTTAGAACCTGAAGGAACTGCTCTCCTTTCATATCATCAGATACATAGAGTGCCAACCATGTCCAACCAAAATGCATCAACAAGCGGATTATTCCCTGAACCAGAGAGCTGTCATTGGTGGCCATCTGATAAACTGATGCAAACTGAGCTTTATCAGAGGGACCATATGTGATCTGGATGAGAAAACAAATAGCAATTTTTTTTTTACTACAGTGGGATCTGGTGTCTTTCCCTTAAACAAGGGGGAGAGTTTTCTCTACCTAATAAGACCACAGAATGGAATCTTGAGACAAGAAAAAGTCTGCTGTAAATATCACCCTTTTCTTTCATTTCAGGCTTTAGCAGACTGCATTTCTCAGCCTCCTTCCTTTTAGAAAAGGACATGTGACCATTCTCAGTAAATATAATGATTCCGAGAACAACGCAAAACCTTAAGATTCAATAAGCCCTTCATATTCTATAGTCGAAAATAAAGATAACATAAACTTTATAAAGATGGTGTAAAAAATGGTAATTCTGCCATCCTGGATGCATGTGATGTGTAGATCAGAGGCTTCCTTGTCTGGAAAGATATGTCAAATGTAAATTCTGGGGAGAAAATCTTTATGATTAATCTTTTGACACTGCAAACTTATCACTAAACATAATCTTTGTGTTTTTTTTAATACAACCACTTATCCTCTCTGTTATTTTTAAAATAAAAATTTTCTAAGACATACTTCCTATGAGTAAATGGTATTTCTGTTTCCCAGTAATGTCTTCTGAATACTGCTTTGAGACAGAGTCACTGGAAAGACTCTCTATATTGTAGAGCTTTAATGTGGAGAATGATTGGGAAATGCATTCCAGTGACCCAACTGCTTGGTTGTAAGGAAGGACCAAGGAATCTGGTAAAGCAAAGCAGGTAAAGCAAAGCTGGTAAAGCAAAACTGAATCATAGTCAATGTGGTGGATCTCCAGAGCTGGAATGTGCCATCATATTTGTCTCAAATGATAAGTAGATGCAAAGGTCTTTATACCTTTACAATTCTCATTATCCTCTAAATGCCTCCTGATAATGTCCTATCTCAAGATGGGGCTGATCTTTGTGCTGTGTACATTTCCTAGAAGGCACACATCATTGAGTTTTCAGGAATCATTAGTCATAACAGTGGGGGGGGGGTGGAAATATTGACCGTGGACAGTAATCTGAATGGAGCATTATGGCCTGTTTCTTTTTAATTTTGCACTGTGAATAATCCCATGACCCAGGAAATTGTCTGTTATCTATTTATAACTCTCTAAGAATGTGTACATACAGGTTCCACATTTTCTTTGCTAAGATGCGAGAAAATCAGAGTAGGAGAGATTTAAACACCATTTTGCATTCCAACAAATCACTTACCTGTGGAATTTTGTAGAGCTCCAAAAGGGTTCCAATTTGGGCTGAAAGTATTGGCATGTTTCCTGCAATGATGGCAACATATTTTTGCTGCACCTCACAGTTGTAGTTAGGCAGAGTCTGATTCACTCCAGAAAGCAAAAGTAGAGCATTCTCTAAGGTCCTCTGGTGATCAGGAAATACATTGTATATATCAAAACCAAGGGAAATGTTGGGGAGCAGATGGGGACTTTTGTTGATCTCTTCAATAGCAAAGAGAAAGGCCAATACAAAATGGTAGTTTTCCCAATGGTACCTAATTACAGAGGACAGCATTAGGAAATATTGTCAGGTCATGTGATTCAGAATGATCTTCTCAGTCAAGCCAAGACACAGAAAGGATTAAACTTTGGTTGCTACTCAGATATTTTTCTGTACTACTGTATGGAGGTGTGTAAATAAGGTTTCTAAAGCTCTGCAGTACTTTAAAATACCCATTGTCCCCTGTTTGAACAAAATGTGTTCAAACAACCAAAAATAGTTTTGAGAGCATTGTGGATGGAATTGAGGTCTCTTTTACCTAGAAAATGACTTTAACTGAAGAGACTTGATTTAAGAAATAATTCCTTTTTTTAGAGAGAGATTTTTCCTATAGGATGTGTGTGTTCGCTGGAGAAACAGAGAGATACAGAAAGACAGAAAGCAAGAAATCACTCCCAGGAAGGGAAACTGAGGCATGGACATTCTTTGACTTCAGCTTCACCTCCAACTTCAACCCAGCTTTACCAACATTAGAACACCATTTTTCCCTGTAAGAAAGTTAGGTTGCTTTCTTCCCCATCTTTCTTATGCTAATTCATTACTTCTCCTTATCCCATATTGTAGCTCCCAGCTCGCAAGCAGAGCACACATTTCCATCTGCATCACCCAGCCAAAATCGCACACCATTCACAAGCACGATGTATGACTTTTCTTTTTTCCTTTTTAATATTCTTATACTTCCCTCTAATATTGTCATTTCTTCATCCTCCTATTCAAGAAACACAAAGGACCCCAAAAAGAATCAACCCAAGAAGATCTTCTCCACGGCACATCTTAGTCAGACTAACCAAAATCAAAGATGAAGATGATTTACTAAAATTGACAAGAGTTCTTTTTTCCTTTTTAATATTCGTATGCTTCCCTCTAATATTGTCATCTTCTCTTCATCCTCCTATTCAAGAAACACAAAGGACCCCAAAAAGAATAAACCCAAGAAGATCTTCTCCACGGCACATCTTAGTCAGACTAACCAAAATCAAAGATGAAGATGATTTACTAAAATTGACAAGAGAGAAACATCAAGTGGCTTACAAAGATCTTTTCATCAAGCTAACAGCAGACTTTTCAACAGAAACAATGCAAGCAATGAAAGAATGGAAAGACATATTGAAAGTGTTAAGAGAGAAACAATTTTAACCAAGATTATTATATCCAGCAAGATTATCCTTCACATGGGGGAAAAAAGATTAAAATATTCTCAAACAAAACATGAAACAACTTGCTAACACCAGACCAGCTCTTCAGGAATCTCTGAAAAGAGTCCTGTTCCAGAAAAAAATAAAGAATGAACAGCCAGAAATATGGGAATAATTAACAACAAAACAATGGCCAACTTAAAGTTATGTACAAGTCCAGAAATATTGACAATAACATTGAATGTTAATGGATTGAATTCTCCAATCAAGAGACACAGACTGGTTGACTAAATTAAAAAAAAAAATAGAAACCTTCCATCTGTTGCCTACAAGAAACACATCTCATGGATAAAGACATACAAGGGCTAAAAGTGAAGGACTAGAAAAAGACTTTTCATGCAAAAACGATCTGGAGTCATGATAATAATTTCCAACAAAATTGACTTTAAACCAGAAACTGTATGAAGAGCCAAAGAAGGGTATTATATAGTAGAAAAAGGGCTAATTCATCAAAAAGACATAATGCTTATAAATATGCACCTAACTCAGGAGCACACAAATATGGGAAGGAAACATGTATCTATAGAACCTTACACACAAAACCATAAGGTACTCTTTTTTTTTTTTACCCGTGCATAGAATATTTATAAAGATTGATCACATGATAGAGCATAAAACGAGCCCCTACAGATTGAAAGGCATAGAAACTATATCCAGCAACTTCTATGACCATGATGGAATTGAACTTTTGATATTAAAGTCAAGAAAATTCCTCAAAATTACACAAATACATTGAAACTAAATAATCTACTTCTAAATGGTTTCATGACTACCAAAGAAATAAAGACTGAAATCAATATACTTCTAAATAGTTTCATGACTACCAAAGAAATAAAGACTGAAATCAAGAGACACAGACTGGTTGACTGAATTAAAAAAAAAAAAAAAGAAAAAGAAACCCTCCATCTGTTACCTACAAGAAACAGATCTCAGGGATAAAGACATACATAGACTAAAAGTGAAGGACTAGAAAAAGACTTTTCATGCAAAAAAGAGCTGGAGTCATGATTATGGAAACCAATGACAATGAGTACACTAGTTTCCATAATCTTTGTGACAGTGCAAAAACATTCAAAAGAGGGAAGTTTATAGAAATTAGTGCATGTACATAAGAGGAAGATAGAAAGATGGCAAATAGAGTACCTAACATCATGCCTCAGAAAATTGGAAAAACAATAGCAGAAAAAAATTCAAAAAACAGCAGGAGAAAAGAAATGATATCCAAGCAGAAATAAATAAAATAGAAAATAAATGAAGTATACAAAAAATAAATAAAAGTTAAACATGGTTCATTAAAAAGATAAACAAAATAGACACAACACTAGCTAGACTAAGTGAGAAAAAGAGAGAAAGGAAACAGATAAATCAAATTTGAAATGAAGCAGGCAATATACAACAGACATAACAGAAATACAAAAAATCATTAGAAGATACTATGAAAAGCTATATGCCAATAGACAAGAAAATCTGGATGAGATGGACAAATTCTTGCACACATATAATCTACCAAGATTGAGTCAGGAGTATGTAGAAAATTTGAATAGGCTCATAACAAGCCATAAGATTGAATCAGCAACAAATAACCTCCAAACGAAGAATAATCCTGGTCCTGATATCTTCACCTCTGAATTCTACAAAACTATTTTTTGAGAGAAATTTTTGCTGTAGAATGTGTGTTCTCACCATAAAGAAAGAGAAAGACAGAGAGACATAAAGCAAGAAATCACCCCCAGGAGGGCCGGGCATGCCACAATCCCTTTTCCTCTATTCTTCTCTTGAGATCTTGGGCACGCATGCACATGCGTCCAGTGTGAGTTTAAGCTACCTGATCTGGGACTCAAACTGACTACATGGGAGTTCAGCGACATATCCATTATGCCAAATACTTGTCCCTGAATTATGCAAAACTTTTAAAGAAGAATTAACCCCCATTCTACTCAAGTTATTTCAAAAGATCTGTAAGGGTGAAACTCTCCCAAATTTATTCTACAAAGTCTCTATCATCTTTATACTTAAAACAGAGAAGGACAGGACAAAGGTAGAAAATTATAGGCCAATATTTCTGAAGATAGATAGAAAAATTCTCAACAAGATACTAACAAATCGTATCCAACCACTTATAAAAAAGATTATACATCACAATCAGGTAGGCTTTATTCCAGGAATGCAAGTTTGGTTCAGCATACACAAAACCACAAGTGTAATGCACCATATTAACAAAAAGAAAGATAAAAACCATATGATTATATCAATTGATGCAGAAAAAAAATTCATAAAATACAACATCCTTCTTGATCAAGACTCTCAGCAAAATCAGCATAGAGGGTTATTCCTCAACAAAATAGAAGGTATCTATGAGAAACACAAATATAACATCATCTTGAATGGGGAAAAGCTGAAAGCTTTTCTATTAAAAAACAGGTATAAGACAAGGATGCCCACTTTCTTCACTACTTTTTAATATAGTACTGGAAATCCTTACCAATGCAATTAGAATAGAGAATAAAATAAAAAGGTGCTTAAATAAAAAAGAGGTGAATTTATCTCTATTTACAGATCACGTGATTGTATACATAGAAGACCCAAGAGTATCCACAAAAAATTTCCTGGAAGTAATATATGAATACAGTAAAGTTGTAGGATATAAAATCAACATACAGAAATCTATAGCATTTCTATATACAAATAGCAGACAGAATGAGATAGAACTGAAGAGGAAATCCCATTTACCATAGCCACAAAAATATAAGGTACCTAGGATCAACCCAAAGAACAGAAACATGCTTATTCAGAAAATTGATTGCACATTGATATTTATTGCAGTATTATTCATAATTGCGAATACATGGATCTAACCCGAATGAACAGAGGAATGTTTAGAAAAGTTTTGGCACTTATAGTCTATGGAATTCTACTCAACCATAAAAAAACAATAAAACCCTGGCTTTTGAAAGAAAGTGGATGAATATGGAAGACTTACTGCTGAGTGAATTAAGCCAGGCTATGAAGTAGAGACACTGTATTTCTCCACTTTATATATCTACCAAGTCTCCACACTCTGTGGCCGAAACTGAATGACTAGAGGATATAGAAACACAGAAAATTGGGGCCATCAGTTAGCGTAATAGTTATGTCTCTGGACTCCCACATGGTCGACCATGGTTCCAGTACTGGACCCGGTGGCTTAAACTCATGCTGGGTGCATGTGTGTGTGTGTCCAAGATCCTGAGAGGAGAATGGACAAGAAGGGATTGCAGCATGGCCATCCTTCCTGGGGGGTGATTTCTCACTTTCTATCTCCCTGTCTCCCTCTGTCTTCCTGGTGAGTGCATGCCCTATAGCAAAAACCTTCAAAAAAAAAAAAAAAGAAACACAGAAAATTATTATAGATACTAGATACAGTGTGGGAAGAAGATAGGAGAAGGAGAAGAGTCTGAGGAAAGATACGAAGAAGAAAATGAGAGACACAAGGCATTTATCAGACAAAGAAATAAGTTATTATGTGTTGAAGATAACGTGTATAGTATTTCCAACTGGACTGGTGAGAAATGTATTCATATTGAAACATTTACTTTACAAGCTAAGTGACATATGTGGTTGAATATATAAAATAAGTTGAAATAAAAATGTTTTAAAAATCAACCCATGGGGGGATGGCCATGCTACAGTCCTTTCTCCTCCAGTCTCCTCATGAGATTTTGGACAGGCATGCACTTGAGTCTGGCATGCGTTTCAAGCTGCTGGTTCCAGAACTTGAACCATATTTGGCCATGCAGGAGTCCAGACATGTAATGATTACACCATCTGCTGGTTCCAAAGAAGAATTTTCAATGTATAGAGATTGTTTTTCTTGGCATGTGAATAAAGTATGCACAAATTTGTGCTGGCTAGTGGCATTGTGGTTGGGACAGCTGGATACCACATGACTGACTGTGCAGTTCAAGTCCCAGACACAGTGGCTTGAAAAACACACCAGGCATGTGTGCATACATGCCCAAAATTCTGAAAGAAAGGAAGAATGGAGGAGAGGTACTACATCATGACCTTCCTTTCATTTTCCCTCTCTTTCTATCTTTCTCTGATGCTCTTTCTGGCAAACTAAGAAATAAGTTTACACATTGAACATTTAAAAAATTAAACCTAGGTCAATTATGTCTACATATATCTTTTAAATTTGAAGTAGTTTTAAGTTTTTTTTTTAAATAAAGCATGGAGTGGTTAATGCAATTTACATGTACATCACCTCACATATTTAACATTTTCTGTGAAGAGAAAATTACTAACACACTTCATTACTAATAATAAAATGCACAATTATGAGCTACATTCATCATAATTATATTCATCTTGATTCACCACTTTTATAATCAACTTCATAAAATCTCCTACAATTAGGTGTATCCCACATGTCATCTTTTTTCTATTGAAGTGCAGAAACCATGATATAAGCATTGCTTATTTTGTCTATGCTCTGTAACCTTTAAATAACACCCAACTTTAGAGTTTTCTATCC